TTCCAAAGCATTGAATTTGCCTTTCACAGAAATAGATAAAATTTATAGTTGCTTGCCCTTGTAGTTAGTCAGTTTATTTAAGATTTAATTCTATTATTTAACTACAGTAGCAAATATGATAGCTATAAACAGGTTTCAGCACAAATACAACCTGCTCTTTCAAAGCGCATGATCCATCAGAAGAGAGGGAACCTCCTACCCGGTCCCCACCAGCTGCCAGTCCTTAGAGCATCAGGGGACCCACCAACAGGCTTTGCAGGGAGAACAACAAAGCATGCTGGTCAATCTGGCAAATAGATGAGGCTCAATTCAGAGAGCTCCCACTGATAGAAATATAGACATACAGCACATGTTTGTGAGTGCCAGGACTTGAAGTGAATCAAATACTTCTGTGGAAATGATTTTGGTATTCTGATTCTTTTCTCCTGGCTCAACCTTTTCTAAAGACTGGTTCTAATTTGAACTGGTTCAGTAGGATTTTAAAAACAACAACTTTGATTTTGTTTTTAGGGCAGTAAAAAAAAATAATACTTGGGTTGGGTTCAGAGTTCAGACAATTAGTGCTGTCCACTTTGGTCTGTGAGTAATATTGTCCTGGTTTGCATTACAGCAAGGACTGATTCAAAACCAGTGCCTTTTTGTTTTGCATTTCTGTGAGTGGGCATATACTCATATTTATGTATGCACGTAAATTGCTTTAGTTTGGATGGAGCTGGTCCTCCAAACGCTCACATGATGGAAATTTGGTTTCTAGTGTGTAAGACCACGTTGAGAATGTGGAAAATTTAAGAGATGGGGTCTAGTGGAAGGTCATTAGGTCACTGGGCAATGTCATAGGAAGGGATGAATGCTCTTCTAGAGGGAGTTCGTGTTCTCATGGAGAGTCCTGGAAGACCAGGTTGTTTGTAAGCAGTCTGGTGTCGCTATGGCATCTCCCTTGCTTCCTGGCTCACGTTCACGTGTGCCCCTCTGCACATTGCTGGCTCCCTGTCTAATTCCCCACCACATTGTGATGCAGCCATGTGACCCTTATCAGGGGCCCAACACATGGAGTTGCCTGATCTTGGACTTTCAGCCTCCAAAACTGTGAGTTAAATAAACCTCTTACTTTACACCTTAAAAAAAATTCTGCCATCTAGAATGGGAATACAATCAAGCATCTGATTCTTCCCATGTCCCCTTACTGCAGGGCTGCCCTCCTTGTATGGTTTTCTAGGTGTTAACATCTGCCTTCTGGCAAGAATCAGGTGGTACTGGGAGAAAAGACAGGCCTGGATATGGCAGGGGTGTGAGGAAGGATAAGAAGGAAATTCCCTGGTGGCTGGGGATTGAGGATTGTGGGCTTTCTAAGGTCAGATCCGACCAGAGTTCTCATGCAGTCAAACACATAGAAACCGGCCCTTGCTTATAAGTGATGAATAATATTCAGCAGCCATGGAGAAAGACACCTGGACGCCTCACTCAACAAAGCTTTGGACAAAAGCAATCATGAACCAGGAGTAGTGTAGCAAAATCCACAGGCATTAGTGTCAGAAGAACTTGGGGTCAAATTCTACCTTAGTGATTCCCTTGTGTGACCTTGAGTAAATGACCTTGCTTCTCTGTCTTGCTTAGCCTGTCTTCTCCTGTGAAACACCTTCTCCCTCTTCTGTATGTGAATTGTGACCTCCTACAATGTCAATCTCCAATCTACTGGTTTATTTTTACTATGAACTCTGGTCCTAAGAATTGGTTTCTTTATTTCTCTTTATAAAAGCAAAGGTCAGTTTTGGCAACAAATAAGTAAATGGGAGTATGTTTTGTCACTAATTTTAGCTCTAGGAAAGATTTTTTTATGCATTAAAGTTCATAATGGATAATGACTGAAGATAGACACCAATGGTAGCATAGCTTCTTCATTTGTTGATCACCATTTTACAGTCCCTAAAATGACATGCCATAACATGGCTATTTTGCTATATGTAAATTTTGCCACAAAAATAATTTCCCAAGGCCCAGATCTGATCATATTACTTAGTTATCTTGAATGACTGCCACTGCCCCAAAGACCGAGCCCACCTTGGCAGACAAAACCAGTGGTGATGGGCTCCAAATATATATCCAGCTGCCTCCCCACCACCTCCCCAGCCTGTCCTTCTTTTCACCATGTCTATGCATCAAACAAACACGTTTTATCTCTGTCTGAGCATGTCCTGCCTGTTTCTGCTTTCAGGCCTCTGCTCATACCCTTCTTCATCTATTCTCTGAAGAGCTTTTATGCATTGCTTAAAACACAGCCAAATGAGTCTCTGTGACGCACTTTCCAGATCCTCCATGCAGAGCTCTGTGATCCCTCTTCTTGCTCATGGGCAGAGCTCTTCATCTGCTTTTCTTAATGCACTGTTATGGTTTGGGTATAAAATGGCCCCAAAGACTTATGTGTTGAAGGCTGCTTGCCAGCTAGTGTCCCTAGTGAGAGGTTATTGGATGGCGAGGGTGCTAACCTCATCAGTGGAATGGCCCACTGGTGAATCTGAAGCTGAATGGACTATTAGTGAGTGACGGTACTTGAAGGAAGTATGTTGCTGGGGAGTGTGGATTGAACTCAGGGTCTCAGGCTCGCTAAACAAGTAACTCTACCCCAGTATTTTTTCTTTTTGCTTGTTTCTCAGATAGGGTCTCACACTTTTGCTTGGGTCAGCCACAGACCATGATGCTCTTACCTCTGTTTTCCAGAGTAGCACCATCACACCTGGTCCCAAAGGGTACATCTTGACCCCAGACTCTATCTCTTTGTTTCAAGTTGAGGTGAGCAGCTTTGCTCTTCCACCTGCTTCCTGTAGTTATGTCCAGCCTCACATCAGACTCAAAGTGAAAGGGTCAAGGGACCCATGAAATGTCCATAACTTTAAGCCAATACACCTTTCCTCCTTTGAACATTTTTCTCAGGTATTTTGTTACAGCAACGAGAAGCTGACTGATAGATGCATGTGAGCATTTTCTTGAGTACTGGAGACATCCATCTATGTTACTGACCTGGGAATGAAGTGGCCAAGATGTAGCTCCTGCTCTACTTTTCTTTGTATCCCTGGAGCTCAGCAATGATGGGCAGATAGGAGACAATTAGGCACAAACCATTTCCATGTATTTCAAGTTTCTTTACCAAGAAAGGTGGTTAGTAACCTGATTTCTGGAGTCAGCCAGCCCAAGACTCAAATCCTAATTCTATTGCTTACAAATGAATTTAGCCAGATTACTTAGTCCTGATAAGTAGGAACAATATTAACTTTATAGAGCTGCGGGGAAGATTTAGTATAAAATTATGCTACTTAGCAGTGCCAGGCAAAAATACTCATTCAGGGGATAGGGAGAGTGGGGGTGTGAGTAAAATGTAAAAACGATAAAGCAGAAAAAGTGAAAAACAAAACCCCTAAAATACTCATTCAATGAATGACAACTATGCTTACTGCACCAAAGGCATCCAGGTTTTCTTGATTGGTGCCTCTATGTCTGTCTAGCTCCAGTGACTGAAGCCAATGTCTTGAACAGAGATTCTATTGTTGCAGAAGCAATCCACTCAAAAGGCAGGCCCCTTGACTTTGGTCCTATTGGTGCTTTCCTCAGCCTAATTGTATTTGAAGATCAGATGGAAGACTCAAATAAGTCAAATGTCTAGAGAAGAAATCCCAATTACACCAGGGAGCAGGTTAGTGAATTTTACCCCAACTCACATTTCACACAGGCAAGTCAACTATTCCCTTGCTGCCAGCCTTGATTACTGTCCTTAGTGACTGTTAAGAATAAATGTAACTGTTTGCATTTCCCAAGTGCTTTTGAATTTCAAAAGTCCTATATATCCTGGGCAAGAACCCAAACTAATCAAGCCAGTTTGGAAAAGTAGCTGATGGAGGAAAATCCACAATTTTAATTAACATTGAGGCTTTGAAATTGAAAACACAGAAGAAAAATTAACAGATTGGTTAATTTTGTCTTCCCTGTATCTTTAGTATCCAAACTTTACCTGGACCATACTCATCCCTGGAAGACACAAATTCTTCTAAACATTTTATTACAAAAGCATAGCTTCTCCCCTCCCTCCCATCAACTGCTGATTTTGTTTGCGCTTAGAAACTGTTTAGTTATGCTAAAAGAGGTTTGAGAGGCAACTCAGATTCTCGCTAAATCAGAATACAAAGTGACCTGCCGAAGAATCTTGAGGCTGCTGCCCTTAAGTTAAACAGCTGGGCCTTGCTGCATCACTTAAGCTGCCAAGAAAATAAGCCAGGACTTGCAGGGTTTTCATGCTAGAGTCCCATTTGCAAGGCTGATTTGGAATGTGCTCTTGATAAAGTTGGTTTCTCCCTGTGGTCTTGTTGCTCCAGCTTGTCTCAGTGCAAGAGGGCCACCAGTAGTTTTCGGAAGTCCCCAGAGGTGTCTGAGTGAACCATGTCAGAGAGGGGCTTTTGATACTTCTCATGAAACTTGGCTTTTATCCCTTGCAGGTCCACCTGTAGGAAAGATGACAAAAGCATGAGGACAGCAATATTGATAGTGTGTTCGCTGTAGATGGCAGGCCTTCTCCTCAGCCCATGTTTTCATTTGCTCAGTTATGCCTTTAAAGAGCCCTTTGAGGTCGGGTTACATTGTTCCCATTTTGTGGATGAGAAAAGGAAAGCTGAGTCCAGCCCCTCACAGGTAGTAAAAATGTCTCTGTGTATATATGTTTCATTAAAGTTTTATAGAAACTGAAAGTTAATATATGTGTTACAAAATATGTTTCTTTTGAGTGTTTAATAGTTGTTTGAAAATGAGTTCTTCTTAGGCAGCAGTACTGAACAAAAACAGGTGGTGGTCCCTGTTTTCCTCACAGGCCACAGTTTGCTGATCCCTAGTAGAAGGTTCAGAAAACTGTCCATATGGATATTTGAAATTAAGCATTTTTTTTCCTTGCACACTGACCAGCAAGGATATCGGTACCAGTTAACAAAACTCAAATCACTACCCATTTTCAGGACTTATTTTGAATCTAATTCATTGTAATCTTAAGAATCTACTGGCTAGAAATGGCATCAAGATGCAGAAAAAACAGATTGCCCTGGCTATGACTGCAGCTAGCTAGTAAGGAAAATTACTCTCAAACCAGAAAAGATGTAACTCCAGATTGAACAAAATGGGTCTTGTAAAAGAAACAAAGAGCTCACATTAACCAGAGTTTTTCTGTCTTTTCATTTTGGTTTAGACCCTGTCTTATACTACAGGCCTAGAACTGTGGCTCAGGTATCTGGTTCTTTTTTCTCCTGCCCCAGTTAGAAGCTGAACTAAGAGAAAGAAAGAAGTTGAGAGAGGAGAAAGTGGAGCGAGGAATTGTCTGAAGTGGATACCAAGCAGAAAGAGAGAGGCTACTGGAGGCAGATAGTGTGTGTGTCCCTGCTGGACTCGGGTGCCCCCTTGCTCCACTTGGGTGCCCCCTTGCTTCACTGCCTAGCTCCTTGCTCAGTATTGGGGGAGGGGCAGAAAGGTGGGGTGCAGGATAGGGGCACACAGGGTCGCTGTTCTAGTATATATGGCTTTCGGGGTTGAGGGGATCCAACCAAACTGTATCTAGCTGAGTTGACGTATTCTGAGTAGACTGACCACCTGTTGAGATAACCCAGGACGTGTGGTCAGTTCTGAAATGGTCAGCTATCTTGGAATCAGACATTCCGCGGTCCATGTTGGAGTGAATTTAGAACTCTGACAAGCCCTCTGCATGGATGCAATCTCTGCAGGGGTCTTCAGAACCGTGCTCTGCTCTTTTGTGAACCTCGAGTCCCTCAAGACTTCTCCATGACTTTGGCAGGGGTGTAGGGGGTGGGGTGTTGCTCAGAGAAAAGGTGAGCACCTGGATAGAGAGAGGAAGAGAGAGATGCAGAGCAGAGAATGAGAGAAATCCAGGAGAGATGCTCTCTCAAGGAGAGAGAGAGAGAGACTGAGACTTTGAGGGAAGGACTTTGAAAGAGAGAGAGAGAGAGAGGAAGGAAAAAAAGATGAGCCTTGGAGGAGGAGGAAAAAGAGGGGGAGGAAAAATCCCAGTAATAGAAATAAAAATGAAAGAACTGTCTTGCAGCAAAGTTATATTTACTAGCAGCGTCAGATGTTAAGTATTTGTCAAAATGCATGAATCAGAATTTGGGTAGGTGCCTCTCCCCATTTGTTTTTTGGGGGGCCAATGTCTGTGGTTTTCAGCTGCTTACTTACTTCATTTTCCAAGAGTTCTACTGCAGGCTAAGCCATTGCCCCTCTATTTCTGACCCCCTTCTGTCTGTGGCCCTCTGTCCCAAAGCATTTACTATGGATTTTGGTAGCTGCTGCTAAACTTTTAGCTACTCCCTTTCCTTTCTTAGACTCATTCATTCTCCTCTGAGAGGGGCAAAAAAAAGTGGTCCTTAGGGATTGAAAAACCCCAATCTTTCTTTTGGGCAGTACAGGGATTTGAACTCAGGGCCTTGTGCTTGCTAAGCAGGCACTGTACCACTTGAACCATGCTCTCAAACCCTATATCTTTTAATGTATACAGTACTGATATTCACATAAATAGATATTCACTATTATCTGTGGTGTTAAAACTTTTTAGGGGGTGGTAATTAGGAAAAAACTGTCTATGAAAAGAGCTTAGGGGGTCAATAACAACAACAACAAAAAAAGATTGAGAAACATTCTGACATGCTGGTGTGTTTCCTGTGTCAAATCATTCTTCTAGCATGGCTCAAGTGGTAGAGCACCTGCCTAGAAAGCATGAGGCCCTGAGTTCAAATCCCAGTACCTCCAAAAAATCATTCTTCTAAGGCATGTTCAATTAAATAAAATTCCTAGCACAGGAATAAGGAGACTGTTTCTTCTTGTCTCTGCTGCTGAGTGACCTCTCTCAGTGTCTCTGATTTTTTTCCTTAAAATGCAGCCAGGTGTAGCCCTGCTACCTTTGAACAGCTCTGCAAGTTCCCCTCTGCACAGTGCCAACAACTTTCTGGAGCCACAGAGACAAAAATAGCAGCAACTATCCTTACTGTATTTTTATAAAAAGAAACAGATTGATGCAGAGCACAATGTCTTCTACAAATTCGGGGAAGGCAAGGACGGTCTCTTTTACTTTTTCATTAAATAAGCCCTTCATAAAAACTGTTTGTCCCTGACATCAGCAGCCACCCCTTTGGAGTGAGTGTGTCTCACCTCAGCCCTTGTCACAATGATGCGAATTAATGTCTCTTCATCTGTCCCCACACCCTTCATGGACTTGTACAGACGATCGGCAAAATAGCCCTCACGGTCACGGGCACATCTCACTGGGCAGGACAAAGAATGGAGAATGTGAGGTCTTCACAGTTTGGTGAGTAACATGGGGACCTCTGAAGGCCCAGAGTCACCTGACTGTCCTTAGAGCTGATGGATTGTGAGGCAGAGGCTTGGAAGGAGCTGACTCTCCACTGTTGTGGAGTGAGATCTGGAAGATTCCCTGGTCCGCCAGCTTTGCTCTGTCCACAAACCAATGAAGTGTGCTTCCACTCATCAACCAAGTGACAAGGAGCAAATCACCCTCTCTCCCCTCCTCCCAGCTCACAGACACCACCATCGCTAAAGCTTGAGGGGAACAGACCATTTGCTCTTTGGGTTGTTAACATTTCTCTAGGATGCTTACAGTTTTTGGATGGTAGTGGTTAATGATAAGTAATGAATTCAGCCTAAGTATGGAAGGTGCAACCTTCCTCTGGCCTGGCAATTATCTGTGTGATGGAAGCTTTCTGAGCAAGGGAGAAGAGTAGGGGGTCAGTCTCCTTCTTTTATAGGTCACACAACAGCCACCAGAGTTGTTTCAGTGGAAAAAAAGTCTAGGCCCAAGTGGCTGTGCTCTCTCCCTCTCTTATTCTCTCCACCCTGCCCCCTAATTCTGTCTCCTATGCTCTACCAGTGGAGCCATGCCCCAGTCCTTGTGCTTTTAGCTCTACTTTGTTTTTCAGATAGAGTCTCTTGCTTTCGCCTGGGCCAGCCTCTGACTGTAATCCTCTTACCTCTGCCTCCCAAGTAGCTGGGATTACAGGACTGTGCCACCATGCTCTGCCCTCTGGTCTCTTTATCCTGAGAACTATCCCCAAACTCCTGTGTTTGAGGAGACTCACTGTGGTCCCTAGACTATTAGAGCTGCTGACACCCACAAAGTTTTTCCCTCCCAGGTAGCAATGATGGATGCTGGAATCATTGTCTGATCAAAGTGATCATGTTTCATAGTGATGTAGAGGTCTTCCATATCCCTCCTTTTTCCTGATAGTTTGGGAAGGAAACTCTTCATGTTTCTACCGTAAGATAATCTATGCCTGGGAACAGCCTCTTTTGTAGCAGCAGCAGGAGGCTGTCAAAAGGTCAGGCACGGATAACCAAGGAGGGCATGGAATAAAACAGCTCACAGTGGGTGGGAGCAAAGGTAGCCACCATACTGTGTATCTCACTCCTCCTTGCCTTCAAACAACAGGCTTCTCCAAAACTTCAGCAGGCATAAGACAATCTCTGGGGAGCTTGTAAATGTGTGGCTTCCCAGGCTCCATCCAGTTCCTGGTTTCTCTATGGGAAGCCTGGGAGGGACCCAGGAAATGATTGAAACAGGAGATTCTGATGCAGGAGCTCCATGGGCCCCATTTGAGAAGGGCTCTTCATGTTAGGAATGCTTGTGTCTCAGTTTCTCCTTCTGGATTTCAGCTGTAAAGGAACTTTGTGTTACTTTTAAAGTAACTCCTCTAACTTTAAGTGGGAAATGTCTGGAAATGAGAGTTATATCTTATTATTGATGGGACTTATTCTCAAGGCATTTTTTAATTACTTTTACTTTTGGCACCATGAGTGTACCATCTCCTATAGTTCACGGCTCCCAATCCCAAGACTGGCTTTTTGGTTCCTTAGTAGCCTTCTGGCTCTGCCTGTGTGTTGTTACTTTCACTGAGGCTGCATCTATAGATGTGCATGTGTGTCCCCTGGTGACACTAAGCTCCTGAAGAGCAAGAACTGCATCTTATTTGCCTCTGATGCTACTCCTACCCCAACCCTAGGCCAGACAGGTGCCGAGTAAATGGTAAATCCCTGAATGGTGGCATTGCCATGTTCTGATGGCACCCTGGGGTGTTCCTGGTTCTCCACACTGCAAGTACAGCAAGGATTTGGAGCTTCAGCACCGAACCAGGCTCTGCCTATAGCCCCAAGGACAGTCATCCATACCAGGACTCAAGCGTGTCCAATGTGGGTCACTAGTAACACTAGGCACATGTACCCCTCTGTCCCTCATAGTAGAGGTCCTGCTAGTTTGAATGCAAAATGAGTGTGGATGGGAAAAAAAATCAGTTGTTGACATTGTTACAAAAATTAAACAAAAGAGTTTGGCAACTGAGGCACATTTTTTGACTTCCAGGGATGCTTATTGGGTTCTTCCTCTTCTTCTGGGCATTCACCTCTCCATTCTTTGTGCCATTTGGGATGGTGCCCTGGACTCCTCACAGTAGTGTGGACAATGGACAATGCCTCATTCCAGGGCTTGTGGAAAGAGAGAGGGAGTCTGCCAGACATGACCTGTGCCCATCTCTCTGCTATTTCCTGCCTTTGGGCAACACCTGGGGTTTGTTTGGCACGGCCAAGGTCTACTCTCCCTCTCCTCTTTTTCTAAACAGACCTCATTATTTGCAAATGTTGAAGGGAATCAAATGGAAAAGGAAACCCTGTGGCCATCAGGCCTGTGCAAGACTTGTCCGTGGGTTCAAAGCGTGGGTACATTTCAGTGTGTTGTATGAACCACATACTACTACCTGAGCTAGATAATGGTCCCTGAGCATTAACAGATGCTCTCTTTTGGTGATTCACAATCTTAGTGGGATTGTAGTGGATCCCATGATGCACAACCCAGATGCTCTCTTCAGGATCAACGCACTCATTACCAGGGCTGCTTGCTGAGTGCTCCCAGCTGGGTCTCTCCCTAGGAATCACCCTTCAAGTGAGAGACAGCTGGTTGCCCAGGGTTGCAAATGCTCCCCAGGTACAGCCAGTGCTCAATGACTGGTCAGTGTGGGAGTGCAAAGATCTGGTCCCTTTCTCCCCTTTGACTATCCAGCTTCAGAGCTTCTGGGGGGATAGGAACTGCATCACATCCACTCTCTCCCTTGCCCGATGCTGGTTAGATGTGTTGTTCCCCAAACTACTGCCTGAGTTCTTCCTGCAGATCCTAATCTCTGAACTACCAGTTCCAGGGAGCCCAGCCTAGAACAGGCAAACTCTTAACTTTACCGAGAGTTAAATAGGCCTTCTGCAAGTCTCCTGATGTCTCTTCTTCAATGGCTTCTTCTATGTCTTTGCCGATGAGCTGGAGAGACAAGCAAACTATAGCCATTACTCCATTACTCTTGGCGCCCTTGGGATTGTCCCTCTATAAAAAGTGCTAAACTCTTTCAGATTTAGTGCTGCAGCTGTAAGGAACTCCTTTCCTGCTCTTGCCTTGCAGGGTGGGGTGCTGGGCCCCACCTCCCATTTGAGAGGGCACTCTCACTGCTGAGGAGTGAGTCTTGATTTAACTCCAGTTAATGCCATTTGCTCAGTCTCAGTTTTCTCATCTGCAAAATCAGGGCATGGAGGAACAATTAAGATTATATCATTATTTACATTATATAGCATCTTCATTTCCAATGTGTTTTTCATCCTTTCCAATCCCAGTTCCCGGGAGGCTGTGGTTATAATCGTCTGGCCTGTGCCTCTCTCACCTCCCTTGTCTTGAGACTAGGGCCTCAGACACAGTTTGGGTGAAATAAACAAGAGGCTGTGAAGTTTGTGATAAGAACTTGATAGAACATTTCTGATAGAGTGGGGCTGCAAGGGCTGGAAGCCAGGGGCTGACCACATCAAAATGCCATTTCCCTTCCCTCTGGGGTGATTGCAAATAATCTTATATTCACCACCAGTTCACATGTCGCTCTGCACAGCATTACACATTAAGCTTCTTTCCAAATATTTATAGAAACTAAAGTTCAAGTAAATTGTGACTATCCTTAACACAAATACTGCCTGGGCCAAGATCAAGGCAGGCAAATAAAGAGAAAGGCAAGTGCTCTGCTGGGATGGGGCACTTTGCCTCTTTCTTAGAAATTATCTTTTGAGGATATGTCACCTATCCTATAAAGAACTTAATTGATCCTATAAAGAATTAGTGTGTTTGCATACATACTAGTGGAGTTTATGTTTTTTATCATAAAACATAGGGAAAATATATTCTTTGTGAAGTCCCTAGTCATTGTCCCTAGCCATTGTCCCCAGCCATTTAGAGGCATCTGTGTGTGGCCTCTGATGTGTGGAAACCAGAGTAGATGACAAGGGGGTTTTCAATCCTTTCTGGGGCTTGATATGGGAGTTGTTAGTTTGGAAGACAGGGGTATCACTTCTCCAGAAACATGGTTCTTGTTCTGTAGACTGAGATTGCATGTCACCAGGATGTTTTGTTCACACAGGTCTGTGTTTACCAGAAAAAAAATCCACCCATTAAACCACTTTCTAAGTCTATTGTTAATACTGGGCCAGTGCCGTGGTTTTCAATTTTCTGTAGTCTTTCAGCCTACAAAACAGACAGAGGCTGATAAGCAGAGCTGTTTGAGGATGGCAGGACGTAGGTTTCTTACCCTAACCCTAAATATCAATGCCATGTTCTGCGCTCTCAGGACTCTCCCTGGCATACCTCCAGGGGGTGCTTTTTACACAATACAGTGAGGGCACTGCCTCCTTTTTCCTTCCTGCCCCTGGTAGCTCCTTCCTGGTAGCTATCCAGGCATCTCCATGGGCTCCATGGGACACAATCTGAAAACAATGGACCAGTCCAAGCTCTTGGGACTCTGTAAAGTTTTCAGTTCAGTTACTGGGACACTGAGTTCTTAGGGGGCTTGTTGGATGGAGCCAGGTCTTCTGATCACGATGTGAGTGGATTACAAAGCAGTCTCAGAGACTCTAGTTAAATCTGTGGCAGTGCCTATACGGAGGTTATTAGAAGAATAGGGGAGACATTTTCTCTTAAAAAGGACCTTCTCAAATCGACAGCATGCTGACAGCAGAGCCCTAGGCACTCTGGCTTTAAGAACAGCAATGAAAGGGCCACAGGCTTTTTTGCGCAGGCTTAGGACCATGCGCAGGGGAGGAGGCAAGTGGTGAGGCACATGACCGGAAGGTAGCGAGGCTGGGCTGTGAATATGGTGCCTACTGTGTCTGCTGAGCCCTGCTTGTGGAACTTCCTTTGGCTTGACAGCTATGCAAGTCTTTCATGTCGGATAAGATTTGGGGCTTTGACAGTCTTGCTGATGTGCTTTGTGGCAGTGGGGGCGGGGGGTGGAAGAGAGGTAGGTCTGTTGCTTAGGCTAGGATTGCTGAGCAAATCAGAAGTTAAGAGTTGGGTTTGGAAGGCAAATAAAGTGTAAAAACCCTAAGCTTTGGCACCAAAGTTTAAAATTCAACTTTATGCCAGGACAACCTAATATGTAATATATCCAGTGATCTCATGATAGTCTTTGTGCATTTGGCCAGAGACCATCAAAACCTTACAGAACCTGAGTCCTAAGAGCAGGGTGAACTCAAAATATTAACAATCAAGATGAAGTTGAACAATGTTTGAGCAAGGCTTTTGGGATAAACCAATAGGGAGCATTTTAGAGCTAATTTTCTGCAAATAATCTTAAACCGTAGATTACCTGAGGTCATTTGAGCTTTTTCTCTGATGTTGGCTCTGTTGATTTACATAGGGAAACCATTAACACCTGCTAATATGTATTGAGTGCCTACAGCATACTGTACTACCCAAGTGCTTACTTTTGTTAATTCATTTAATCAACTAATCAAGCAGGTACTTGCATTGGTTACAATGCAAGTAACCAAGCAGCTACTGTTAGCCCTATTTTACAGCTGGGGGATACCCTTAATAACTTGCCCAAGGTCATATGACTAGTCTCCTAAAACTGACTTCTCACACATAAGCCTGCATCAGAATCACTGAAGACTTGTTAAGACTTACAGATGGTAAGAACTGAACTCCAGGGAATAGTGGTTTCGTAGGATGAGGGAGGGAACTGAGACTTCTTTTTTAATAGGTTCTCAAGTGACAAGATGTTGCTCTTTGGGGATCAACTTGGAATTATTGGCTTGCAGAGTTTCCTGGTAGGTAATCAGTAGTTCACACAGTTGTGTGTACATTTCTATAGGGAACACCAATTACAGCCATCCTCAGAAACTCCATCAATGGTCCCCATCCCGTGGGAAGATGCCTCCAGGCACACAGACCCTGGGGAGCAGGGTCAGCTGCCTTTGCTCATGATGCTGGGCACGATTTGAAAGCAGAGGGCCCTTAAGGCTCATCTACAGTGACGATAAAATTCCACAGCTTTGTCTTTTCATCTTCTGGCAACACATAGGAAAGGCTATTTCGAGTGAGGAGCAGCCAGCTAGAGCCGAAGTAGGAGCTAAGGCTGGGGAGACTTGGAGTTCTCCTCGGCCTTCTGCTACCGACTTGCTGTGTGGTCCTGATAAGTTACAGATGGCTCCTCACTTGACTTGTCCAGCGGTTGTGGCCCACAAGACCTGTTCAGCCTACATAATGGTTATGATATTGTTGTGAAATTGATATGAGGTACTGCTTTTGACAGGTAAAAGCACTCTACAAAAATATAATAGGCAAAACAAGAAAAAAAAATCTGATACTCTACTTAAGGCTTTTTTTTTTAATTCACATTAAAGATTGCCATTCAGGGAAGGATTTATCATTTAATACCTTGAAATAGGTAACTCACTTTGTTGGCTTAAAATGAGCATGGGATTAAAAACTTCATTCATGCATGACTTTTCAGGAGCCTGTCTCTGAGATATAGCACGTCTATCTGGAGTGTGCTGGGCACTGTTAGCTCAATCATACGTTGGGATAATAACACATTTGTATGCTTACTGCATACTTCATCTTATTTAACCCTTAAAATTATGCCTGGAGGGTACGCTGCCGCTCACAGTTCCTGGTTCACAAAAGAGGATGGAGAGGTTTGGTCACTTGCCAGTGTGTGTATGGAATCAGGATTTGCACCTGGACACTATAACTGTAGAGCTTTGCTCTGAAACATGACACATTTCTGTGGGGCTGTGGCTATAAACTAAGGCAGGGTGTCCCAACCTCAGCATTACAAGTGGGGCTGAGCAGGTCTTGGCTGTGGGACCATCCCTGTCCTGTGCACCATGGGATGTTCAGCAGAGTCCAGGACACCATCCTCCCCCACTGAGAACCATGATGGAAATGATCCCTCAGGTCTGTCCCACATCTTGGCCTCCTTTAGGAAGAACATAGTTTCAGAGGGAACCCTCGTGCCTTGGGGCGTCACTACTTACAATTTGATAGGCTTGAAAGGTGGCTCGCAACTGCTTGTGGCTCCTCTTGGCCAAGACTTCATTGAAGGCAAGCTCATCAGTGCCCCAACGGCCTTCCCCTGCCTGGAAGGTCGAATGCAAATGATGGGAAAGGAAGTTTTGTTGCAAAGAAGCTGAATATACAGTATGTGACCAGGTCTCACTTACAGGGAATTATTTAAAAAATGCACTGAATAGAAGTCAAGTGGATTAACCAAGCCCAGAAAGCTTCTAACCCACAAGTATAGTCACATGTTTATTTATGGATCTGAATGTAAGAACAGGAACAAGTCTTTATATATGGTCTAGAATGGATTTAAGCATATATTTATTTCTTAACCCTTTTTTTTTTTTTTTTTGGCAGTACTGGGGCTTGAACTCAGGATTTCACGCTTGCAAGGCAGGCTCTCTATTGCTTGAGCCATGCCTCCAGCCCATATATTTATTTCTTAAAGGTCCTTCTTCATTCCTAAGTAACTCCCATTTGTATGAAACAAAGAAACATTTGTGGAAAGCATTGCTAATAAATTGAAAACAAAAGAATTTGTGGAGTCTGGTGTCTCTTCACACTTACATCATACAGATCTTTGGCATCCTGACCAGCCAGATCTTTGTCCACTTCATCTTCTTCATCACGATTAGCCTAGAAAAATCGATACATTGTTATTAGCTTAAGTTCTGCTTGACCACAGAAAACAAAAAGAGAAAGTGCTGCAAGACTGGGGCGATTTCAGAGGGATGGCCTGAAGCTCAGGCTAGCCAGGCGGGTAGTCAGATCGGCTCTTTGCTGCCACCTTTTGGTCATAATTAGTAAACAGTGTAGCTTCTGTGACAACTCTTCTCTCTTTTAAGCAAGGTCATTCACAAAATTCTGTGATGTCTCCTAGAGTGAGTCCATTAGTAAGCAAGTATTTTTCCTTTAAAAAATATCAAATATCACCACCACTCAGGGGCTCAGTGCCAAAGAACTCTGAGAGTTGGTCATGGAAGGTCATGGAAACCTAATGGAAGCCCTGGGGGTAAGCAGATTTCTTAGATGGCCCCTTTCCTTGAATGAGTCTGAGAGAGTGAAGATGAGGAGATGTCACTCCTGGGATTATGTTATGCTAGATGGCATCAGGGAGTTTTGCAACTGTAATTCAGATGCCTAATCAATTAAATGAATCAACGAGAGCTTATCCTTGGTGAGCCTGACCCAATCAGGTGAGCGCTCTTAAAGAGCAGCAGTGGACGAAGTCAGAAATAGGATCTCCTGCTGGCTTGGGAGAAACCAAACAGCCATGTCATGAGTTGTCCTTGGGAGCCACACGGCAGGGAGCTGTTGATGGTCTCTAGTTGCTGGTAATGGTCTCTGGTTGGCAGCTAGTAAGAAAAGAGGGACGCCAGGCATATAGTCACAAGGAAACGACTTATCTCTGGGCTTGGGCCTGGCATGTTAATTTCATCCTGGTGAGACCATGAGTGAAGACTCAGCTAGCCCTCACCCAGGCGGCTGATCCACAGGCACTGGGAAGTAAAGTGTTGTCCTGAGCTGCTAAGTTTGTGACAACCTGCTATGCAGCAGGAGAAAACTTCTGCCCCCTCCTGCTGTACCTGAAGCCCATTTTGTTAGTGCTGTGAGTCTACCCACAATAGGGGAAACAAAATGGAGGAAAGGCACAGGCATCCTGTGAGGTTGCATGTGCTGTGCTGTCTGTCTGGAGCCTTGGGGACTGGACAGGGTCCTGCTTGGGGTCAGATGGTCTGTTTCTTGGTGTGTGTCAATTATGCTTATTGAGAAAATCCATTCACCAAAAGGGATTATAAACTGCATAGACTGTTAGGAGGACAGGAACCCCAATCTAGAACTTTCCCAGTCACTGGATGGATAAAGCGAGAATGCTGAGCACACAATAACATTTTAATTAAGAAGGACGAATTGGTCTCCTTTGCCTTATCCACCATGATACCACGCCACGGGGGATTATTTTCTGAGCCCATGAGGTAGGTGAGGCCTGTTACTCTCACCTGTAGCAGGGACACCAGAATCTTTCTTAGGTTTCCACTTGTATCACCTTTGACATCTGATTCAAGGCTCCTGTCAAATACTTTTGAGGAAGAAAAAGGGAGAGGGGGAGAGCAGAGGATTCAGTTCCCAGAGACATTTCAAAAGGAACCCACTTATTCCAAGGCCAGCACAAGGTCACTTACGCCTTTGGTAGGCTTCTTTGATGGCAATGATTTCCTAGGAAGATAATGAAAACAAATCAGTATCCAAAGTGGGGTCAACCAATAAGAGGCACACAGAGAGAAGAGGCAGAACTCTGTCTCCAGCCAACTTTGAGACTTCCTCTGAAGATGGTTTTTCCTGTGGGGGTGGGCTCAAGCTTGGGGTGAGTCTCTGGGTGTGAAAGGGCAAGCATTTCAGGCACACAAGTGACATTATGCATACATTATCTTAGCAATAGAATCAACCCTAGGGGACCATCGCCGGATGAATGCATAAAGAAAATGTGGTGTGTTTCCGCAGTGAGATATTATTCAGCCATAAAACAAACAAAATCCTGTTATTTGCAGCAAAGTCTGGAGGGCATTTTGTTGAGTGGAATAAGCAGGCACAGAAAAACAAGTACTGCATGATCTCGCTCATTTGTGGAATCTAAGGAAGTTGATCTCACACAGGTTGAGAGTAGAATGGTGGTTACAGAGGCCAGGGAGAGTAGAGAGAAGAAAGGGATGGGGAGAAGTCAATCAATGGGTAGACAGTAGCTAAAAGTTCTGGTGTGCTGCGCAGCAGGTGACTATAGATAACAGTAATATATTGTCTATTTCAAAATAAGTAGAAGGGAGGATTTTGAATGCTCTTACCACAAAGATATGATAACTGTTGGAGGTGATGGATAGGCTAGTTATTCAATTCTGATCATTGTACATTGTATCCATGCAACAGAATATTTGTAGCCCGTGAATATATACAATTAGTACATGTCAATTAAAAAAAAAGAGGGGAAAATATTACAGCTAACACCTTTCACCACCCCTTCACCCTGGGTGACTCCTCCATTCCCACCTACGTTGGTGTTAGAAGTTCAATGTGTATCTTGCAAGTATTTTTCTTTGCTTTGACACATGTCTACGTGCTATTGAAAATACACACAATTGCTTTGTGCATGTATCCGGTGTTTAGAACCTGGAATGCAGTACTTATCACTCTGTGATTACAGTTTCTTTCCATAATGCCTTGGAGACTCAGCTATGCTTGGACATAGATGATCACCTAGCGTTTTTTCAAATGGATACAAACTCTCTTCCTACCATAAGCCACTGTTTATTTAGCCAGCCTTCTTCTGAGGTCTGCTTGGGTGGTTTGCAGTTTTTCTCTGCTTCAAACAAGGCTTCATTCAGTAAACAACTTGCTGTCAGCAGGAGGGAATTGGTGTGCATTTCAGTGTCTTGGGCCAAGTGGTCCACCTCAGAGCTGCCTCAGTTTACACTTGAACCTGCAGCATGCAGAAGCTGGCACTTCCCCACACCACCACCCACAAACCAGTTAAACTGCAAGTCAGAGGGCAGTGGTGGGCAGGAGCAGGTGTGTGGGGGCCACAGACCAGGAGCTGACTGCGGCTTTGATGGGAGGAGGGGACAAGCGGGAGTTGGGGCTGCTGACCACTTGTGTTTTTGCAGCTCCCTCCCTTTTCTCCTCCTTCCAACCAACCACAGGATCTGCCTGAATTCAGCTTTTGCTTTCTCTGTTTTTCTTCTCTTGACCATTAGATCTATTTGATTGAAAGAAAGACCTTGCTTGTTGTTCCTTAAAGGAACCAGGGTAAGATAAAGAAAATAATAATGAAGGTAACCTTTTCACAAAGGCAGGTGCTGGTTGCCCCTGACATTGGATACCTCAATGCTTCTGGGAAGGGTGAGCATGTACAGGAAAGTGGTGTGACATCATGTGGGTCTTGGAGCTAGTGACAGCTCTGGGGTCTGGGCTAACCTCCTGTGAGGCATTACCTTAACCCAAAGTTCCTGCTTGAAGTGGGGGTAGGGGGGTATCTCATAGAAATGAGCCCAAGGATGCTGACAGGTGGGATTTACAGCTGTAGCTTGGATCATGGTGATGCTTTGGGGAAGTGACCGAGCTTGACCTGGCCAAGCAGAGTGAGCAGGTGGGCAACACTCAGGGCTTCACCTAACAGTTCAACCTCAGAGTGCTTCTTCAGCACTCTTGCTGTCTGCTGCTGCTGTTTCTTACTGGAAGACCTCAGAATGTCGGGCTTTCCTGATAACTTTTCTTACTGGACCTCTTCACTCTATGATAAGTGGAAGAGGGAAGGTCCTCCTACTGATGCTTGGGGATCCCCACTTAGTCTTGATAGATTCCTCATCTCCTGGTGTCTGGAAGCAAAGACAAAAGAGGCTTCTATTGGGCCTTAAAAAGTGCTCTTTTTAGCTCCTGAAAGGTTGGTGTGTGGCACCATAAAATCTTCCCAGGAGGTGCTGGCAGCCACTGGAGTGTTCATTAGGATCCTTGATGCCACCATCTTTCTGCCTCATTCTAGACTTTTCTGTGTTCTTTGTTAGGTAGCAGCCATGCACAGGGTACTGACACAAACCTGCCTAGAAGTATATCACATGATTCATGCCAGAAGGCCCACCAAGTCAGGTGGGGAGAGGTAAAGTAGAATTGTGTCTCCTGCACAGAAAAACAAAGCTTAGATTGATCCGGCTCTTCTGGAAGGATCTATTCTGATCCTTGGAAGTCTGGGAGAGATGTCTCTCCTACCTGGGCTGAGGAGACACGGTTCTGTCTGACTTCTTGCTCACTGATGGACAGAATGCAGGGGAGTAGCATTCTTGCTGCCACCATCCCTGCCAGGTGAGTTCACTGACCTTATTGCTTCTTGTGCACAGGATCTCGATGAGCACGGCCTCATCTGTGCCCAGACCCTTTATAGCCTTCTGCAGCTGGCGGGCAGCATACTCGTTGGGACGGTCCAGAAGGGCCAAGGCTGTCTTCTCAAAGTTTCCACTCAGCTCACTCTTGAGCACCTCCTCCAGGTCCTGTAGGAAGCACAGAGAAACTGATTGGAAGTGACTTGGGAGGAGAGGGACAGGTGTCTGTCTGTGTTAATGCATGGCTCAGGGTGAACAGGACATCTGCCCTGGGCACACATAGAGTGATCCAGGCCAAAACAGTGGACACCATGACTGCTCACCCATATCTTCCCAAAGTTGGCTAAGAGTAGAGAGGAGCCTTTCCTGCTCAGGGATGGAGCCCCCAAAGATGAATCACAGTAACAATAGCATTTGTAGAACATTTTAGGTTTTCCAGAGCTTTCCTCACTGATCCTCAAGACAGTGTGCAAAGCTGGCAGAAGATGTATTGGCATTAGCTCCACTTACTAAATCTCAGGTCCCCAGGATTTGTCCCCAAACATTCAACTAGAAGTGGCTGAAACACAGGTCTGTTTACTGTAGAGGGATCTGCTCACTTGCCATACAGTTTGGGTTGGTCTTGAGAGTGAAAGGGGGCCATTATGTTAATAGGGGTGGGAAACAGGAATAAACAGGGACTCTGTTGGCCAAACCGATGTGCAGTCACTTTGGTTATCTTGTTATATTCTGAGAGAGCCACCTGTGAGAAAGAACTCAGGCAGGTAGAAGTCCATGAAATTCTCTCTGCACCCTATTTTTGGGTTACCTGCCTTCATCGTTTTTAGGAGCACCCTATTATCACAAGTGAGATAACTGCCTTCTTCCACTGTCTCACTCTGATGAGATGTTTTACTAAGAGTCAAGAAGGGCGTTTGGTCTACTTAGAGTCAGCAATGCCTAACTTAAATGAAGGAACTTCTTGCAGAGTGGCAACCCAGGGTGGGTCAGATACGAAGCCCATAGCTTAAACCAGCATCTCAGGGACCCAAATTACAGCAAGAGCTGGGGCTGACTGCTCAGCAACAGGGCATGATGATGACTAAGGCAGTCACAGGAGATGGTGATCTTGGGAAATTTAATTTCCCCAATGGTCAGTTTCCTTTTCTAAAAAAGGAAAAAAATGTCAGAACTTAGAGGGTGGTTAAGAGAATTAAATGAATCCATGTCAACACTGAGCACAGGGCCTGGCACATGTTAAGTTCTCAACAAATGCTTAGTATTACATATATATTATATAATAATATTATCATTATTATTCCATGCTGAAAGGAATTCCCTGAGAGGAGGCAAATGAACTGTTTCTCAAATGAACCTCTGAGCTCTGGGTCTGGGAGAAAAGCACAGAAGATTTTTGTGCGGGGCTCTGAGAACTGCCACCTTAAAGGGGGAGGGAGGGCTCTGAGACCTGCCACCTTAAAGGGGGAGGGAGGGCTCTGAGACCTGCCACCTTAAAGGGGGAGGGAGGGCT